GAGACCCCTAAAGCAATGGTGTGCTGGGAGACCAGCTCAGTGCAGGGGATGGCGGGGGGAGTGGGCTGGGGTTTCGGGCAAAAGGTGAAGCCTGACCAGTGTTTGCTGATTCCTGTGATGTAAATACCACTACCACAGCTGATTTCAGCCCCGAATGTGACAGCACTGAACATGCAGTTGGGGAGAGACGTGTATGGTGGGCTCTCCCAGCCATTACCAGGGGCTCCTGCATGCCACCACCCCATCATCTCCTGTTGAACTGGGTCAGAGAGGAAGATGTGCTGTGTTCTTCCTTCCCTCACAAGCCCCAGCTCGGCTCCCATCTCCTCTACCTGCCCGGATGCGGATGCACTGGCCATAGGTCTCACCTCCCATGGTCAGCCCCCTGCGTGAGGGATGTCATCTCCCCTCACTCTCCTCCAGTCCACCCTCTGCTGCCCCATGCAGCTCAACAAGATGACTTTGGTTCTGTTTTCAGAAGAGCCAGCTCCATGGCTTACCCTTAACAGATGTTTAAGAACACGTTCCTAGGCTTGACAACTGGTGAGAGGTGAAAACACCTCTCTGTAGCATTTCTGTTGCTAATTTGGCCCTGAGAAACCAAATGGCAGAGCAAGGCAACTTACGGCCAACCCCCGCTACTGTCCCAGACACAGACTTCATCCAGTGACTGCGCTTAGGGTGCGTGTGGGGTGGGTGGGCAGAGGGTGGCACCACCCCTGGGGGTGTCAGGAAAGGTACAGAGGCAGTTTTTTGGTTTCCACAATGAATGTGGGAGGGGATGCTTGACATTAGATCCTTGGGGGTCCTTGCATCCTGCAAGGACAGGAAGGTCCACCCACTCCCAAATTCTGACAGCATCCTGGTAAGAAACACTACAACCTGGAACAGAATATGACACTGAAAGAAATGGTGATAAAATGCCCCTCAGTGTAAATTACCTTCTTTCGTTCCCCTCACCCTCTGTACAGGGTGGTGGGCAGTCTCTTGCTGCAGATGATCCAGGTTACGATTGCAAACAAATCGCCTTTCTTGGCTTTCTCTGCAGGTAGAGCCTGCTCCTTGAGGCAACCGCCCACGAGTCCTCTGTGATGCACTCTCCAGGGACACATTGGGACATCATGATCATTTTCAAGAACCAAGTTCCAGTACTGGGTGTCCCGAAATCCCAAGCAGTTATTTATTTTGGGATTTACTTTTTTTTTTTTTTAAAGATAGAGGATGGTTAGAAATGTTTGGCAGTCAACTCCTCCCTTTCTGGCTAATGGGAAAGATGAGGTCTAGAGTCGTTTGAAGGCATGACTAAAGCAAATGATTACATGGATCTTGTCGAACATGAAGCTGGGGAGGCACCGCTGAAGGGCCCAGGGCTCTGCATTACCTCTAGGGAAGTGACCCGTGTCTGCCACCAAGTGGGTGACCCTACTGGAGGGAAGGACCATCCTGGGCTGTTGAAGAATTGACTCTGAAGGAGTCCTGAGCCCCTGATCAAGGCTTGGAAGCAGGCATTTCTGTTTTGGTCTGGGTCTCTGCTCTGTAATTAGTATGTTGCTTAACCTTGTGGAGACCGGGTTTCCTGCAGGAACATCCGCATCTCAGGGATGTAAAATTACAGTGCTGTCACACACTGAACATCGACGGTGGCTGTTACTAAAAAAGACTCTCAAACATACCCTGCCACGGCTGCCATTGCTGACACCCCAACATCTGCTCCTGGGGGCTGGGTCACAAGAGGGGGCCCCCGCGGAAACCTCCATGGTTCCCCTGGACCTGGAGGGTGGTCTGCAGGATGCGAGCTAGGATGCCGACTGTGGCAAACACACGGTGCTCATGGCGTGCAGGCACTGCTCTAAGGACATCATTTACACCACCCGCCTGGCCCTCACCACCATCCCATGAGTAGCACTGTACTCCCCCATTTAACAAACAGGGAAACTGAGGCCCAGCCTGATAAGCAGATTGCTAGTTCACCCAGCATGAAGGTGTAGCAGAGCGGGGACTCCTGAGTCTGTGCTCTCAGAGGGATGATGTATTATATTCATAGGCATCATAATGACTTTCTTTATCTCCTTACAAAAATCATAGGATAATGGTAAAAGACTAAACCCTGTAATATTCCTTCTCCACCCCTCTTGAGAAAATCTAGACATCAAAAAGCAAAAGTACAAATTAATGGAAGGAAAAAAAAAAAGGAAAGCCCCAAACTGTGACCGTATAAGAACCCATGCCACACCGAATTCAAAATTCCAGTCTGGAGACCTCCACCCTTCCCTGAACTGCATGTGGTGTCACTTACTATTTATATTCCTAATGATAAAAGTGGCTGAAGCACAGTAAGAAATACAGGAATCAGATAACTGGAAGAAGTGCTTTGAGCCCCACCCATCCAATCCACCTAACCGTGGCTAACTTGTAGAGTGCTCTCCTTCCTGTCTTTTTTAATGGCATTTGTCTGTGGTTTCTGATCTGCTGTAATGGACATCTGGGCTTGTATCTAGCATAGCAACGTTTTTAAATAAAAGTGTCTTCCTAAGGGGTAGATGGGCACTAAAATACAGCACAGTCCAAGGAAGAGCCTTGTCCCTTGGCCAGAAGAGGGTGTTTCCTGGGGTGACCATTAAACCATGGAAGATCATGGCTTGCAGCTGATCTCTGCTTTAAGATGAACAGGCTGCTCCCTTCCCTGGAGAACTGCTATGTAACAGGCGCTTCTGAGATGATGAACTGCACTCCAAGCCAAGAAAGTAAGAGGCAACAGTACTGTCCAGAGTGCTACGCTTGTGAGAGGGGCTGCCCGGGCACCAACCGAGCCCACAAAACACCTGCAAGGACGACGCTGGGCTCAGAGCAGGACGACGGCACCAGGGGAGGCAGGCAGGTTAAAATCCTGCTTTGTGGAATTCGGGAAACCTCAGAATACCTGACTCAGCATGTTTATATACCTGCTAAGGTATTGAGCCTAATAAAGTGTTTCTCCCTAATAGTGGACCGTACTAGAGGTATTAACTGTAAAAATGTGTACTCACCCAAACTGTGGAAAGGCCAGATTTGCTTTGGTTTCTTTCCACGATGAATGAATATTATAACGGGGAATCAATGTAAAACTGCCCTTATTATGGGACTTCCCTGGTGGTCCATTGGCTAAGACTCTGTGCTCCCAATGCAGGGGGTCCGGGTTTGATATCTGGTCAGGGAACTGGATCCCACACGCTGCAACTAAAACCCGGTGCAGCCAAATAGATAAATATTAAAAAACAAACAAAAGATACTGTTTACATTAAAAAAAAAATCCCTTAAAGTGTGATAATCTGTCTATAAACACAGAATTCTATACTCAAATGCGGGGGTCCCTAAAATAAAATCCATCAAAAGTCAGAGGTTGCAACTGGTGGCCTCTGAGTCAATCTGGCCAGAAGTTGTGTTTCATTTGGCTGAATATCACTTCAAATAAAGTGAATTTTAAGATTAGGAGATTTTATGCGAAAGCTCATTGTTGATTTGCTGACAGACTCATAGGTTCCTGCAACCCTACACCCCCCCACCACCCCTTGCCTCTTGTTTTGCTTGTAAACAAAGTTTTCCCTTGCTTTTCTAGTCCAAATTCTCCCTCACAGTGAGATAGTCTGTGGTGGTACAGAGTGGGAGAACATGAAGTCCAGAGTTAATTTAAGTTTTTCCTCTAAGAACGTGTGAATAAGGCGGGATCTCCTTCCAGAAATTCTAGATCAAAGGGGAGACTGAATCCCAGCAGTGGCCTGGAGGATCTGTGTTGATCAGTTCACAGACTCCAAAGCACAAAGGTGTGAAAGTCCATTATCTTCCTGGCCAACTCCAAGCACTGAAATCATTGCAACCTCTGCATGTGTCCCCTTGCCCTTCCCCTGTAATCAGGACCAGGGGACCACTATGACAATTCAAACTTTTAGTAGCTGTGAAAGTTAAGACATTTTTATCCCTCCCCTAGGCACTTTTCAATTTATATGGCAGGATCTTTGTAGGATACCCTGAGCTTATTTTAAATAATAATACTTTTTCATGAACACTTAAATTAAGTAATTTTTAAAATTTCTATAACATTTTTCCTTTTAAAAAAAAATTATTACGTGATTATTATAGGAAGTTTGGAAAAAAGTTATGTTTAAAGAAGAGACTGTTAATTAAGAAAGCAAAACCCAAAGACACCACTGTTAACATTTTCTTTCTATGTATTTTAAAAAACATAGCTGGAATTATAATGTGCACATAATTCATCTTCTGCTTTGCAGCCTAGGAACATCCTAAACATTAAATTCCTGTTACTAAAACCTCTTCAAGAACATTTTAAAGGCCAAAATCCATTCCATTTTATAGCTGTATGACAGTTTATCAGACATTATTGTTGGTCATCCAACATTTACAATTTTTATTGTCAATTTTTATAAATAACGCTACAATGGACATCTTCGTGCATACAACTTTTTTTTAATGCCTTTCTTTCATTTCTCTAGGATAGAGTCACAGACAGAGAATCCCTAACTTAAAAGGTGTGACTATTTTGAAGTCTCTCAGTACACACTGTTGTGATGTGGGCTGAAACGGCATACCTGCATTTATTTATTTTTGTCATGTCTTCTTAAACCTTAAGCCATGATGTTGGATAAGCTGGAGCATATGTGATATTCTGGAGCTCGAAACATTAAGAAAGAAAGAAGCAGGGTCGGCTTTTTCATTTCCCCTCTACCTCACAGGGGGTAGGTATTATAGACAGGGTGAGAGGAGGAAAATCGGACACAGACACCACAAAAAGAGGCCAGTGATTTTCAAGTCCTAACACAGAAGAAGAAACCAGAGAGGGAGCTGACACGTTTATGCAAATTGATAAGCAAACCACAGCCCAGGACAGGTGCCTTTTGGTACCACCTGTGTGTCCAACAGAGTGTTCATTTTCAGCGATTATAAGGGATAAGACAGCATTTTTCACATAAAAAGCACAGAGCATTTCAGAGCACAAAATTTCTCACCTTTCGGAGTCTTGTGAGGAGACCAGCTACATGTTCATGCTGTTCCGATTTTGCAAGATCTTCTGCTGTCTTTCCATCCTGTTGGAGATAAATGATTAGTTTTTTCCTTCACTGCAGAGAACTGTGTGTTCCACACACCAACATCACCTTCTGAGACAGAAACAGTGTAACAGGCATCAGAAGCAAACAAGGTGGACAAAAGACCCTGTCCTGAATAATTCCCTTTTCTGTGGAATCCTTATTTCACTGGTTGTCCAGACAAGGAAGATGAGAAAAGTAGGAAAAAACATGCATTGGTGCTTGAGGTCCAAAGGCAAGATGTCTCAGGTCCACAGGCTTTAATCAAACCAGGAACCTCATTAGCAGCAGATTACTCTGCATCCTGAACCTCCCTCCAATTAGGCCAACGATAAAGACTGTCATTAGCTGCCAAATTCTAGTTAGTGGAAGCTAATGTCTTAGAATCCTTCCAGGGACAAACCTCAGCACTCCTATCAAGCGAGTTACTGGTTAATTACTGTGCATTTCAAAGAAAAGGCTGAGTTTTACAGACAATTTGGATCTGAAGATCTTCAGTGAAACATAAAAGGGGGAAATAAGGGTCCACGGCATTTCAGCGTTTGCATTTTAATTGGAGAATTTTCACAGGGCTGCTGTTTCATACTGAACAAATTTGTTTCCAGGCTGTGAACATGCACGATGACGGCTAACGTTTTCCGAGCGCCTCCTCATAGTGTCAGAGTGTTGGGCGTAGTAACCTCCGAAGTGCTCCCAGGCGGTGGGAACGCTGGCTGTTCACCCACCACAGAGCAGGGATCGGAGACTGACAGACTGCTCTGCTGCAGTAGGAATCATTACAAATTTAAAAGTAGAAAAGGTGAGAAGCAATTTCCAAAGAGATAAAAGCAATATTTCTTAAATAAGAAGACTAAGCAGCCTTTGGCCCATCTGTCAGTGTTTACTAGGGACAGTTCAAGCACCATTCCTGAGGAAGTGGGGGGATGCCCGGATCTGCCTGACGGCACACCTGCCAATCTCGCAGCCCAGGTCATAATCCCAACCAGCACATCATCTCAGCCTTGGCACTGCTGACATTCTGGCCAGGATGATTCCCTGCCATGGGAGGCTGTCCCGTACACTGTGAGATGTTAAGCAGTACCCTGGCCTCCACCACTAGACACCAGCAGATTTCCCTTGCACCAGCTGTGCCAACCCAGTGTCTCTGTTCTGTGCTTAGTCGCTCAGTCATGTCTGACTCTTTGTGACCCCATGGACTGTAGCCCACTAGGCTCCTCTGTCCATGGGGATTCTCCAGGCAAAAATAATGGAATGGGTTGCCATGCCCTCCTCCAGTGGATCTTCCCAACCCAGGGATCAAACCCAGGTCTCCCACATTGCAGGTGGATTCTTTACCGTTTGAGTTACAAGGGAAGCCCTTTACCATCTGAGCCATAAGGGAAGTCCAGTGTCTCTGGACATTGCCAAATGTTTCCTGAGCAGTGAAACTGCCCAGCTGAGAAGTATGGTCATAGGCTGTGGTCGGAGCTCTGGTGGGTGCTCCCAGGAGGCATGCTCTACACTCATGTTGCCCACCTCTCTCTGCCCACTCCCCACTGTCAAGTCCTGCAGTGGCCCCCGTGGGCAGATAAAAGCTTCTAGTTTGCTTTGGGGTGAATGAGTTAAGTTTTCAGACACTGCATCCAAACAAGGGGGTCATACCAAACTGTCTAGGTCCATACTGACATGATAAGGACAGGCCTTACTTCTCAAACCTCATGGCACCCTGGAATCACTGGGGTCTTTAAGAACTTCTGCTGCCTGGTTCCTACCCGCATACTCAGCTTCTACCTTTCTCAGGTGTGACCTGGACATCAGGGTTCTAAGCCCTCCCAGGTGATTCTATTGTGCAGCTAGTAGAATGGCTTCCAACTAAGGCAATGGTTCCAATAGGTTTTGGAACCATTGCCTCAGTTGGAAGAAACCTGAGCCCCAACCTAAAATCTTCTGTCTTCTGGTGTGACTGACCATAGATTTCTCTCAAAGGCCTTAGACCTGCATAGCACACAGACACAGGATGTTTGTTCACTGGCAAAGTTACTATCTGCAGTCAAGTCTCTCAAATGACAGGAAAACTCCACCAATACTTCCTTATGTTTGCATGGTACTTTACAGTTTGCAAAAAGCATTGCTCTGAAGGACACTGTTCAGCTTCCAAAAGAACTCTTTGCCAGTGTTTGGAAAGAGGCTGAACTCTAGAGTGAGAAGCACCAGGTTTAATTCAGATTCCGCCCCTCCCAGACTCTGTGGTCAGTCACTTGGCCTCCTAGAGCCTGGGTTTCTTCATCCATGAGATGAGAAATGACACTCTACTGCAATGGTTCTTGAGCAGATTAGAGAAAAACAAACAAATGAAGCACCAAGAGCAGAAAAAGGAAGCGGCAGTCATTAACAAAAAAAGAGCTGAGAGTGTCCCCAACGTCCCCCTCCCCATCTTTCTGTCCAAGAAGGAAAGGGGTAGGAGCTAGATCTCCTCATCCCAGTCTCATGCTAAGCAAGGTGCCAGCTCTGAAGCTGGCCCACAAGTGAGCCCAGCACTTTCTGCCTTCCTTGTCATGCACAGTGGTCTAGGAGGCTGACATCATTGAGAAGGTGACATTTGAGTCAAAACCTGAAGGAGGTGAGAGAGCAAGCCATTTGGATACCCAAGGAAGTTTTGCAAAAGGAAAACAAAAATAATAACAATAACAACAAAACAGCAAGTGCAAAGGCCCTGAGACAGCAGAAATAACAAGGCTTGGTCCTAGTGCTCAGGGGTCAAACAGGGCTGGAGATACTGGATGCAGGTCTGAGTTCCCAGGTGCAGCTGCAGCCATGGGGCTTCTGAAAGGAGCAGGGGGCAGAGAGTGGGAGGGCAGCTGGCCAGGTTGGGTGGAGCAGCAGCAAGAAGACCTAGAGCTGGAGGAGGGCAGCAGAGGTGGGAGGGGAAGAAGGGCAAGTAGGATTTTCTCATCCAAGGCAGGGGTGGATGTCAAGGAAGCACCATGTCCTGAAGAGATAACTAGATGTGACTGCTGGCTCGTAGGTGAGAAAGACATCAAAGAAAGGCAAGGAAGGAAATGCTTAGAGAACTACAAAGTCAGAGTGGGGCTTACACTTGGGGTGGGGGGTTGGGGTGCACTGTGGCTGGGACAGGCCACTGGGAGCTTCTGGGGTGGCCTCTGAAGTTCTGTTTCTAGATCTCAATGGGGCTACAAAGGTGTTTGTCAAATTCACCAAGTTCTTTTGTCCCTGTCCTTTCTTAAACAGAAAATCTGTCTTATTTTACAACAAAGAAGTTTTGAGGGGCTTCCCAGGTGGCTCAGTGGTAAAGAATCCGCTCACCAAGCAGGAGATATGGGTTCCACCCCTGTGTCGGGAAGATCCCCCGGAGGAGGAAATGGCAACCCATTCCAGTATTCTTGCCTGGGAAATCCCAAGGACAAAGGAGCCTGCTGGCCTCTACGGTCTATGGGGTCGCAAAGAGTCAGACATGACTTAGCAACTAAATAACAACAAAAAAGCGAGGTGACTCCCTCTGCTGAGTCTCAGGGATTCGACGACAGACTGTGGCGGGTAGAGGAGAAGTGGGAAGCAAGGAAAAAGAGAACCAGACAGTCAGAAGACTTTCCAGCCATCCTGGCGGAGGACAGGCTGGGAGAGGAAAGACAGCAGCTAGGGGGTGCTGTAGGGTCGCGGGCGGTGGTGCTGGCGGGGAAGAACTGTGCGGTCGGTCAAGCAGAGAAGAAAAGCTCGCTGACAAAACGGGCTGGAGGGTGCTGTCCATAATGCGGCAGCTGAATTCCACGGACAGAGGAGCCTGGTGGGCTACAGTCCATGGGGTCACAAACAGTCAGGTACGACTGAGCGACTTAACACTTTCATTTTCACTTTCCACTCCCCATGCAGCTCCTGGGGCTGGAAATGTGGAGCTAAGATGTGCTGTGGATGAAGACTTAAATCAGAGAACTTAAATCAGACAGATTTTGAAGACTTAAATTGGAGAACCGGACATATCTCAGTAATGCAAAAATAATGATTGCAAGTCAAAATGATAATATTTGGCATATGATGTGCAAAATATATTACTTCATATATTACTTTTAGTAACTGACTGATCCTGACTTCCTGTCTTTTTCCTCATCAGATGTGGCTATTAGAAAGTTTAGAATGACTCAGGCAGCACGCTGTCCTTCTATGGAGCCAGCCTAGGCCTGCATTGGGGCACCTCCATGATAACGCCGTTCCTGGTGGAGCGAGCATGGTTTCCACCGTGCCTGCTGGGGAGGCCAGGCACACCCAGCCCCGTCATCCCCCTGTGCTCCAGCCCACAGTCCTTCCTCTGGGCTCAGAATGTCCTCCTCTCTCTCTGAGGAGTGCTCCTGACCTCTGGAAACTCCTGGGGACCCTGGCTCCCAACTGGCTCAGGTCCCACTCTGCAGCTGCATATTCACTGTGACCCTTGGTTCTGACTCTCTCCCACTAGACTGGAAGTTTCTCAAAGGAGGGCAGCTCGCCTATCGCAGCCCCGCTGTGTCCCCGCATCTGTCTGGAGTGCGGTACGTGCTCAGTTATCTGTTGATTGAATAAACAATGGAGCCCCCAGGAAGCGGATTCGCAGGACAGAGAAGGAGCATCTGCAGTGAGCTGGGGTGGGCAGGGAGTGGAGGTTCACCTGAGAGCCTCCAGAGGGGGAGCCCGAGGCTGGGGGGGCAGCTGCTGTGGGGAAGGCACGGGGAGGTAACTGTGGCCACACAGAGGGCTTCCCTGGAAGCTCAGCTGGCAAAGAGTCCATCTGCAATGCAGCAGACCCCGGTTTGATTCCTTCCTGTGTCAGGAAGATTCCCTGGAGAAGGGAACGGCAACCCACTCCAGTATTCTTGCCTGGAGAACTCTATGCCAGAGGAGTGTGGCAGGCTATAGTCCATGGGGTCTCAAAGAGTCAGACACGTCTGAGCAACTTTCACTTCACTTTCACAGAGGTCACGGGGAAGCCTGAGGACCCAAAAGAGGTCCAAGACTGACCCACACTGCCAGGCTGGTAGGAGCAGCTGCTGGCATCTTCAGAGCCACTGGCGGCAGTTTACTTTTTATGAGGCAACATCTGTAAAAAAAAACATTTCTTCTCATAAAAACGTTTATAAGTGCTCTCTTGTGGAGTAACTAGACTGAGTGCCTAGACATGGTTGGGGAAGATTTGATAATGGCACATTAGGTTCATAGGTGGCTGTGGGTGGGCTTGTGATAGGTGAGCAGGTGCCCTAAGAAGGTCCAGTCCCATGTAGAGCACTGGTCATCACTGGGCCTGCAGAGGAGCCCAGCTCAGGGCTCAACACTGCATAAAAGAACCCCTGCTTGTGGGAAGGGAATGACATTCTCATCACATTTGTACAGCCAGGGAGGCAATGCCCTAGGCCAGGGGTTAGCAACCATTTTCTGTAAGGGCCTGAGAGCAGATATTTGGGGCTCTGAGGGCCGTAGGGTCTCTGCTGCAATTGCTCAAGTCTCCCCTTGAAGAGTGAAGATGGCTGCAGACAAAATGTAAACAACAGGCATGGCAGTGTCCCAATAAAACTTTATTAACAGAAGCTGGCAGCAGGCTGAATTTGGTCTGTGGTCCACAGTTTGCCATCCCCTGTATCCAGCTTCAGATCCCTGATTTTCCCAAGGTTAGCTGCCATGTTTTAAAACTGCAGGGGGTCTCCTCTAAAGAAACAATTTATGTTAGCGAAGCTCTTCTGAGTTTTAGGAATCTCCCACATGAGCCAGTGGAGACTCAACCCACTGCCGGGCCAGAAACAGCTCAAAAGATAATGTTTCAGTGCAGCTGTAAAACAGCAACCTTATCTCATCTGCAGACACATTATTCCTCTCTGGTATCCTCGAAATGAGGATCAAAGGGTTTCTTCTGCAGGGAGGTACCAGGTCTGGAATAGGGAGTGTCAGGAGTGAGAGAAACTAAAGAAACCTCATTTTAAAATATGCTGTGGCTTCCCAGGTGACGCTAGTGGTAAAAAACCCATCTGCCAATGCAGGAGACATAAGAGATGTGGGTTAGATCCCTGGGGTTGGGAAGATTCCCTGGAGAAGGGCATGGCAACCCACTCCAGTATCTGGAGAATCCCGTGGACAGATGAGCCAGGCGGGTTACAGTCCATGGGGTCACAGAGAATCAGACACGACTGCATGCATGCAGGCCCAAGAGCAAAGCCAGACTTTTCAAAGATGAGAGGGCAGCTCTTGTCACCTGTTCCCCCCCACACCGAGGGGCCTTCCTCCTCCCTCTCTGAAAGCCCATGGCCCCTCCAGTCCCCCACAGTGGAGGGGGCACATTTAGAAAAGATAAGCACACAAGCTAACACAAAACATGAAGGCCTGTTGTATAACACAGGAAGTGAAAAGGCCAGTGGGAAACAGCAGGTGTTCCTGGCAGTGCGGTCTGGGGAAAGAAGAGGATGAGGCATTAACAAGATCTTACCCTGGCTTTGTGTGGGCAGATGTTTACATAACTGCCTGTGGAGGAGCTGGAGCTTAATAGCAGCCTGTCTGCTTTGCAGTGCAGTTGCCAAGCAATACCTTCCCCCTCGTGCCCTTGAGGCCTGAGACATTTGCAGTCATTTTCTCCTGCCAGAGGGCCACTCACCGAGGTCAGCGCTTCCACATTGGCGCCCATCAGACACAGGTAGCGGACCACGTCCAGAATCCCGTTGTTGGCGGCAAGGTGCAGAGGCGTCCGTCCATACTGCGGGAGACAAAAAGACCCGGGAGAGTCCTCACGCTTGCTGCCGAGGATGACGTGTGTGGAGGGATCTCACGGGGCCAGCACTGTGTAAGGATCTGGGAGCCACCAGGAAGAGACAGGAGGCGAGGTCTCCTCTCTCCAGAAACTTGCCATCTCCTCGGGGAGGCAAGCCAAACAAAATGTTTTCAAGTATTTCTCAGCTAACAGAGTGACTTTAAAATAAAACTTCAAAGGCTGAAAGAGTGGGAGGCTTATCATAAAATAACTAAATTAAGTCTCCTGCTGTGCTGGCAGAAAGGAGGCATGAGTCAGGGCTGAAGTCCCCAAAGTTCCGGAAAGATTTGCACTGTGGCTCAGATTTAGATACAGCAAGGGAAGAAGGCATGGAAGGACAGAAAGTGAAGACACTGCTCTAATGAAGTGAAACGCCAAGGCCATACCCAGCATTTTTGATTGCCTACGGCTCCCACACCATGTGCCAAGGTATCTGGGGGCACTGCAGTATACTCAAGGGGGTGCTGAGGAATATTTTAAATTTTTGATGGAACCAGCAGATTCAGACACCAGGGAAACTACTAGCTTCAGGTAGTTCAGTGTCTCAAATTAGCTGGGACTGCCTTCCTTTCAGTGACATTGTGTATGCACAGAACAGGGTTGGTGGCGGCTGTGATGCAAAGCAGGTCTCTTGTGAAGATCCACATAGAACAGGATACGGGGTGGTGGTGTCCACTCTGAGTCCAAAGTTTAAAGAGTCATGAGGTGCCCAACAAGCACACACCTTCCATTAGTACACAACTGTGGTCAACTGAGAATTAAATAAAAATAGCTTTCTTTCAATTTATGTGAATCATTTGTTCCATCAGCTCCTGAAATATTAGGTTGTTTGGGTTGAATAACTTAATAAACAGAACGTAAGCAGCCTGGAGTGCTGCAGTCTACGGGGTCACAAAGAGTCGGACACAACTGAGCGACTGAACAACAAAGGTATTTAAACAAATTTTTTTTCTTTTTTGGCTGCACCACACAGCTTGTGGCGTCTCAGCTCTTGGCCAGGACTGAATCTGGGCCATGGCAGCAGTGAAAGCCCAGAATTCCAACCACTAGGTTACCAGGGAACTCCTGGAACTTAAGGTTTTTCTTTTGCTCTGGGGAAATCAGAAAAAAATAAATTACTTTACACAATGGAAATTATGAACTGAGCAAGTCCGGCTCTCTCTGTTTTGTACTGCAAATAAATGTAGGTTTTTTGTTAAGAAGTTAACACAAGCTCATTTAGAATATCCAAACAACATAGAAGGATACACAGTAGAAAAATGAAGTCCTTTTCTTCCGTTCCCCCAAGTTCCCCCACTCAGAGCTAGCCCCACGCAAACCTTCCAGGCTTTTCTCTATGAATTCATAAGTGGAGAGAAATAATTTTAAAAGTGAAGACATAATCATATTCTACCTTCCATTCTGTCAACTTGCTTTATTCATCTGACAACAGACTGTGAATACTTTTCCACGTCTATAAGGAAATCTATTACATTCTTTCAGATACCTGAATAATATTCAATATATAGATATATCATAACTTATTTAGTTAGCCTGCTGAGGATGGACACTTAAGGTGGTTCCATTTCTTGCTACTATAAGTATTGCTGCAGTGTGTGTGCATATTTATCTTTTGTTTACTGTTAACTCCTAGAGTCATTTAGAAAGCAGATATGAAGCTTTCAAATACCGCAGAGCTAAAGTGAAAAGTAAGGAGTTGGTTTGGAAGATCTGGAGGAAGTGTTTGGATTTCTGTGTAAGGAAGATAGTCCTGGGTAACAAGATGCATTGTTTTATAGAAGGGAAAAAGGTCAAGGAAGAGACATATGATGAATAAAAGACTAGGAGAGTTTACAGTTTGATGGCCTCCAATGTTTGACCGAAAAAAACTCAAACTCCTTAGCATTATATTCAAGGTCTTTCACCATCTGGACTCAATTCCCCTTCCTGGCTGCCTCCGTCTTCTTGAAATATTGCATTCCCCCTCTTTTCCATCTGTCCAAATCCCAATCATTTAAAATAATCACCTCTGAACAGCTTTTCCCAGTTTCTTTCGTCTCCAGATGCCCATGCTTTTGGAGTGCCAGTGTCTCTATCACAGTAGTGTTTATAACACGAGATGCTCTTATAGTGAAATGTCCTGGGTGTGTGCGCACATCTGTGTGTGTGTGCGTGTGTGTGTGTGTATGTGCGTGTACACCTATGCATGTGTCACATGCTTTTTCTCCCTTTGCTGATCAGAAGAGCCAATTCAGAAGGGAACAAAGGGTTAAGGGTGTGCTCTCTGTATAGTCCATTTCCTCCCTTCTACCATGTTCCCCAACACAGCCGAGTTAAATAGCCAGTCTCCCGTTTTTCACGTGAGAAGAATGCAGATAGAGAAATGCCTGTTTCATGGCAATGACTGTCAGAAATCGTGACAAGCTCCTGTCACATCTTGGTGACAGGGGTAGGATCTGAATGGCCATGTGTGTCTCTGGGGAATGGAATTCAGGTGAGGAAACAGCAGGGCACAGGAAAGGGGTGACCGTCTGCCTGGCCGACGTGGCCGTCACTGTGCCATGGCCACGCTGTCGGTTACCAGGGTCAGTCCATGTAAAGTCAGATATGCTTTTTGGGGAAACAAGGCCTTTCTCTTACTTTTCTGCACATTTTTAAAGTTCCTCTATAGACCTCATCATCTTTCCTAAAATAAGCAACAAAAAAATGGAAGAGAAAAACAAGCTGACACCAGCTCTTCTGAAGATGCAAGACCCACAAAGTCACCATGTACAATGGCCAAGTCAAAGCCACTCAAATGAGTGCCACAAGGTCCCTAAAGCTGCTTTTTATTCATTTAAAGACTTCTGGAGGGAAAGCCAACCTCTTGATGCTGCTTAATATTGTATTACATTTAGTTTCTTCTTTAAATCACTTACATAACTGACTTGGCAAGATTAGAAAAGGATAAACTAAGAAAGCAACCAGCAGCTGATGGCTAGGACTTAGGCTATTGCCTTTTCATATTTCCAGAATATGAAGATTACCTATTTCAATTTCTATTAGAATTAATCACATAATAGGCAAGAAGAATATTTTTCTTTTGGTAGAAGCATAATTTTCCAGGCATTTCAGTTATTCTTTTACCTTAAACAAACCATATTAAATTCTGCGGGTATCAGGTCTGCCACTTATAAACCAACATTTCCTGCAACTACAAAATTAATTCTACTTGGACTTTGTTTTTAACATAATGGTAACAGAATAGCACTTGCCTTTCATACAGTTACAGAGCTGAAACCACATGACTATCCAACTGTTTTACCATACTTGGTAGTGAAAATCTAGATGGCATTCAGGGAAAAGAGAAGGTGTTAGCTAATTTCTAGAATTTCTAGAAGTCAACATATGGGGATTTTTATTTCTTTGTCATTCACCAAATGATAGTATCCCCTTAGTCTTACCAAATGTATTTAGCACAAGAAAGATGTTATGAATTTTTGACCATAAAACTCCCAAATGGGGGAAGCTGGAGAAATCTGGTCCCAGGGATTTCAATCATATCATAACTCATTAGGTGTTTTCCTGAAGACTCAGTGCCCCGATTTGTACCATGTTCTTTGATTCTTCTCCAGAAAGAGAACATATACACACACACTCTCTCCCCCGCCCTCCCTCCTTCTTTCTCTTTCTAGATGTTCATAAATGGTAAGCCAGTCTCAGCAGGAAGTATTAATGTAATACTTTTCTGGGACTATTATTAAATTAATTGTCTACAGGAATTTAAATAATTTAATTTAAATAATTTCCTATATAATATTTATTTAATAATTAAATAATTATTAAACAATTAAATTACTAAACTATAGGAAATTATTAAAAAGTCATATGCAAAATACACTTAAAGTGGAGAGCCCTATGAAAAAGAACAGGTCCATAAAAGCAATACTGACTTTGAACAGTGAAGAGAGAAACTTGCCCAAACCCAGAAGCAGGTAGACACAGAGACATGGATGGACTGTGCGGGGATCTTCCCTCCAGCTTTACCTTGTTGGAGAGATCCAAATTGCAGTTGGCTTCACAGAGGGCCACTACAATCGGCACGTTGCCATCTTTACAGGCCACATGGAGGGGGGTGTTGCCATGCCTGTCTTGGAAATCGACAGAACAGCCCTGGCTGATGAGAGTCTGGATGACCTCCATTTGACATCGTCTCACGGCAAGATGTAGAGCAATGTGTCCATCCTGTAACAAACACCAGGGCCGTGAGTGCTTTTGACCCGCATGTGGGACTGGCTGGTTGCCTTTCTAGCTTCACTGGGTCAGGTTTAACTGGCAATGGGACCAAACCTGAAGGAGGATTAAAAACCAGAAACTTTACTCGTGGCGGGGTTGAGGTAAGGCCCCACATGTCTCACTCTGAATAATCACGGGCTGAGCTGAACATCAGTTTAATTAATCTAGGCTTGGCCACTACATTCAGGTGGGAAGACACCACACTCCTTCTTGTGTGTGAATTCATGGGACATAAATCATTGTTGGTTCTCCAGTGGCCTGTTTTATCAAGTATTTTGAAAACATCTGCTCAGTGATCTTTACTAACTTCCTAAGTAGAGAGTTTATTATTTTATTTTATACTCTGAGAAACTGAGAAAGCGAGGTGATTGGCTATCACATAGATGAGAAGCAAACTGTTGTTGCTTAGTCGCTAAGTCATGTCTGACTCTTTTGTGACCGCAGGGACTGTAGCCTGCCAGGCTCCTCTGTCCATGGGATTTCCCAGGCAAGAATACTAGAGTGGGTTGCCATTTCCTTCTCCAGGGGATCTTCCCAACCCAGGGACTGAACCCACATCACCTGCATTGGAAGGAAGGTTCTTTACCACTGAACCACCAGGGAAGCCCTGAGAAGCAAATATAACATATTTAATCTCTGCACCCACACAGCACCAGCCTGGGAGTCATTCTCCCTGTTGTAGAGTCCCTGGTGAAGATATGTGCTGAGTTTTAGGAGCTGGGTAGAGGGAGCTTAGAAGCATTTCTGTAACTCATCTATTCTAGGGTTGTTCAACCTCAGCACTGTTAACATTTGGGGCCTGTCCTAGGAATTGCAGGCTGTTCAACAGAGCCTCTGGTCTTTATCTTCTAGATGTCCTATCCTGGCTCTGATGACCCCAAAATACTTCTACAGCCACTACCTAATGTCACCTGGGGGCTAAGTCACTGCCCACTTGAGAACTGCTGCTCTGGACCAAGAGAATACTCCAGAGGGCAGTGACTAAATGAACCACTGTGTGCCCAAACCACCATGGATGGTGGCATCAGCTTCACTGTAGCATAAGTTCACAGTAAGAAAAGATTATGCTGAATTTGCTTAATTAAAGAAGGGAAACCTTGTCTAGAATTGTTATCAAACAAATAAGAATAGTTTATTGTCTTTCTACAAAATAGCAGGTGATGGAATTAAATAGACCACTTATTTCTTTGTCTATCTACAAATCAATAGTGCGCTGCCAATTTCAGTCCTAAATGAGGATTTGTCTTGGGTACCACGATCATCACTGTACCTGCTCCAAAGCTAAAAAAGCTAAAAATAAAATAGAGACTTGAATTATTTGATCATCTCATAAATTTTGCTGCATCCCACAAATGAACATTAATTACGAGACAGAATCGAGAATCACAGAATCTTTAGATTGGAGAAGAGAAAGGATAATTATAACTTGTTGCATCTAAGTTATTTTAGGTAAACGAATTGAGCAGTCTTGTGGTCCCGGGAGCCCCCACTAGATGACTTTTCAGCAAGTGGGATACGTTCACCCACAAAGCACCTTGTCGGATGCATTAAGGTCGGCTCCATGCTCAGCCAGACACTCCACGATGTCTTGGTAGCCCCTGGCAGAGGCTGTCAGGAGGGGGGTCTCGCCTTCTCTGTTCTTCATGTTGACGTTGCAGCCGGCTTCACAAAGGGCTTTGGCCACAGAGTAATAGCCATGCCAGGCAGCAGAGTGAAGGGGTGTTTCTTCTTCCTGGCCACGGAGAGAGGCACAGAGAAGAGAAGGCAACGAGATGAAAGAAAGTACAGGCGTGGTGAGCATCCTAACCACATTTGGCAGCAAGCTCAAGGCAGTGGAGAGAAAGGGCTTGTAGCTATTGGAGCAAAACATGAACATGAAATAATGGGCTGGGTCTGATGCCTTTCCTTAATTCAAACTCAGCTTTCTCAGCATTTTACTGACAACTGACTTTGCAGAGCCCACTGGCATCTTGGGCTCAGCTCTTCTGAACAATGGAGGCCCCGCGTGTGTGATGTACAGCATCTTTCCTGTGAAAGTGCAACAGTTGACTTCATTTGCGATTACTAACAGAGGGAGATCTGAGCAAGAACTCCTCTGACAAACCTGTCTCAAGATTCCTGACACAAACATTGCATAAAGATGAGTCACATCAATGGATTATTGTTCTGGCAGAGAAAGGGTCAAGATAACCACGCTTCAACAAAAAGGATTGGTCATCAGGTCTACATATTCATGACCAACATCATCAGACACACAGAAATCTGTCTATAAGAGGCCGCTACACTGTAGTGGTTATGAACACAGACTCTGGAACCAGTCTGTGTGGGTCTGAGCACTGGCTCCACCACTACCGAGCTGTGCTATCTTAGGCAAACTCCCGAACGTCTCTCGGCCTCAGTCTCCTCATCTGTAAAATGAGAATTGAAGGGTTGTTCAGAGGATTCATGAATGAACGAACGGCAGTGCTTTTGTTTGAGTCCCTGCCCTCTGTAATTTAAGCAGAAAACCTAACTTGGATGCACCTCCAAGATACTCAAGCCTATCATTTGGCTATCTGCGCATCCATGCAGAGTCGGAAGAAGTGAGGACATCAGCTACCATGACCCACCTTGTCCTGGAAGTTGGGATTCGAGCCGAAGCTGCACAGTAACTGAACCACGTCAGCGTGGCCGTAGCGAGCTGCCACATGAAGGGCTGTCTCTCCAGACTGCAAAAGACACAGCCAAAGGGTCAGAGCCCCCTGAGAATCGTCTCCAGGGACTAGGACATGCAGGACTGGAGGCCCACTCTCACACACGCCTGGCTCCACGTCCTCCCCTGAGGCGGTGCCTGCCCCTCTCAGGCCAGATGCCCCTTTGGTGACTGGGCCAGGGACCCTGCAGTGGGGTGTCCACCACGTCGCTAGTGTTAAACTCACATACCTGGCCTCTCTCGTGTGTAATACCACCCACCCTACCCACCCCGCCAGGTGAGAGTCCATTCCCTTTTCTGTGACGGATGTTCCTAATCTTTATATACTGATGCTTCTAGCTATGTGATTTTTTTTCAAAACACAAAATTCCTTGTTTAATATTAAGTTACTTAAACACAAGGTTTTATTTATTAGCAAGTTTCTGATTTCACTGTCTATGTTTAATACAATTTCTTACATCCTCAGATATTTTTATAAATATTACCATTAGCCCTTACAATAACATATTCTGTGAATTAGTAATAGATGCAAGTTCTTAAGATATTTGACTTATATCTGCCATAAAACTGTCAGAATAAACTGATCTAAAACAGAATGAGATATTTGTTGCCACCTGACAGAAAACTGCTATAATGACAACCCATTCCAGTATACTTGCCTGGAAAATTCCATGGACAGAGGACCTTGATGGGCTACAATCAATGGGGTTGCAAAGGGTCGAACATGACTGAGCAACTGAACATGGAATGTGAATGTTATCCCTTATCCCTTAGATATGGTACAGTGCACAATCCATACAACTGTACATGACAGCCCTGACTGAACATAACAAATCAGTCTACTAGTATTAGAAGCAGAGAAGGGTTACATACACAGTGGAATACATACAGAGGAGAAAGTAGGAATCCTACGTGCAAGTCCCAGCCTTGCAATTGATTCACAGGAGTATTGTGTGGACTGAATGAAACCTGGTATGTGAAAGTAGGGTATCTTCCTAAACTGATAATTTTTATAACATTTTAATCCCCAAAGCCTTAACTTTACTTGCACTGTCTCATTACCCTTCTAGTACCAGTGGTCAAGGTCAGCAGAGTCATGTCAAAGAGGAAGAAGATAGTAAAGAGACACGCATATGGCACGGTGAGAAGAGGATCAGGACTCAGGTCACTTTCTGGTTGTCCTTCTAGCAGAACTTTTGAGTTTTCATGTTATGGGGAAGATAGTTCACAGCTCACATAATATAACAACCACTTGGCATATTTCAGCTAAAATCAGGTTTTAATGTTAGACCAAGTCCCCAGCAAAAAGAAACTTCTAAATTAAATTTTCTGTAGGAAGATTGTGGTTCTGAATCCTTGTTTTTTGGGTCATGATGCAGATGGCATGCCGACACTCAAATGCAGTCTTTTATCACTTTCCATAAGAAGAGTTGTGGCCTTACCTTGTCTTTAACGTCCAGAGGGCATTTGTTCTCATTGAGAAATTTCAAGGTATCCACGTGGCCATGCCGAGAGGCCCAGTAGATGGCATTGGATCCACCCTGTACAAAAACCAAGGCAGAGTCATGCTCCCAGGTGGATCCGAACACACACATCACTCAGTTGCTATATTTCTTTTCCTATGTGATGGCAAATGCCAAAGGAGCAACTCCCAAGAGGAATAAAACCCCATTTCAGTTTTTGGTTTGACAAAGGGACCAAGGTTATGTAAGACATGAACATTCCAGAAAGCTGGGTGAAAGGGATAAGTGAGCTTTCTATATTATCTCTATAGATCTTTTTTTTTTTTTAAATCTAGAATTATCTCAAAATAAAAAGTTGTTTTTCTTTTCCTAAAACCTTCATTTCAACTTCCAGTTAGAATTCCCTACATTGTCAAGGGCCAGTTCTAGCCTATTAACAGTGCTGTTGAAAGTCTATGGAAGCTGATGACAGATCCATTGTAATGACAATTAGCTGGTTATCACTTGTGTCTACACTCCAAGTAAGGTATACACCTCAAAGCATATCCTCATTTTGTTACCCTAATAAACATGTGGGGAAACACATTTCTGATGAGATTAATTGGATAATGAAAACTTCTCCAAATGTAGCATCGACTAACACCGCTGAGTCAATGTGAGCAGTAAGGAGTCAATCTGGGCAGGATGCAAAGAAAGGCAGACGCTGAGTAACAGAGCCGCAAGGAAGATGAATGTTTGCCTTTTCCCTTATAACCTGTTAGACGGGACCAGACTACTTAATCAGTTCATCTTCCTTTACAGGAACCTGAGAAATGAAGTAGGGCATATGTGGTATTTTTCTCTGTTACCTCTATGATTAGAGACATTTGGAAATACTTAAAAAATAATTCCTTTTGCAATAAAACAGAATTATGACCTTATCCTGGATGTCAATTCTTGAGCCTCTCTTAATGAGCAACTGTAGTATTTGAATATTCCCACAGCCAGCAGCAATAAGTAACGGAGGAGTCCCATGCTGGAAAAGGTGAGAAAAAAAATACAATTTTTCAGGTTTGATAGGTAAGGAAAAGCCTAAACTACCACTGCTGCCCCAGACACCTTCCTGTGTCTCCACAGACACCTGCCGTGCCTGACAGGAGTGGAAACAGAAGAACACGGTAGCCTGCCCTCTTTTAGATTCACAACCAAAAGTGACATTTTCACTTGCAAGATGAGTACATATAAAATTTCATGGTTAGAGCTGCACGCTAGCTGCATATAGAAAGGCCTTGTGTGAAGAAAGGCCCTCAATGCAAAAAGACCTTATTTCTAATTCAATTCACTTTCTAAGCAGAAGTGATTTTCCCCACAGTATGGAGTTTATACAGGAAAGGAGAATGGAGAAGTAGATGGGTTCTCCACATTGGACTTGGAGGAGCACAGTCACCAAGACCCCTGACCCCTACTCCCCCTGGCAGGACAGCGTCAGACCTTGTTGGGCTGGTTAACGTCGTAGCTGGACAAGGAGCCCAGGAGGTGCTGCAGGCCGGGGACATTGTCATCGTTGATGGCATGGATGATAGCTTTCATCACAAAGGAGTCTTCCTCATCCTTGAGAGAGACATGGAAGAGGGAAAAAGGTTTACACAGCTGGCTATGCTGCTCCTTTCACCAGCATCAGAGAAATTAAGGCTCATTTGTTAAAAGGAGCCTTCACGGGGCAAGTAAGCCATTTAATCCCCAAATCTACCTGGTTATGAATGAAGCAGGAGGTCACCTTTTGCCCCTCCCACATTGGGAGCTAATACCACCTACTATTTACCTTTGATTTTATGTCACCTGCATTATAACCCAGACAGCAAACAGCTCTGAAGATTCAGATTTAGGACAATGATTGATGACAAACTACTCTTTGTGTTTATCGTAGGAATCTTTCAAAACATATAGTTCCAGAAACCACTGTAGAAAATTTCAGGTGTAACTCAGACTCTAAAACCACTGAACCAAGGAAATGATGTCTTTGAATAAGAAGGACTTACTTTGCCATTTTTGCAATTACAGATTGTCATTTTTTGATTACTAGAAATTCCTGTATTCTATAACATAATAAAATTCTCTGAAAGTTGGTCACAATTGTTTTTTCTTTTTTTAAAAAAGGTCTTAAAAGGGGAGAAATGTAAAAATAAAGGCCAGATAAAACAAAGTAAAATGGATGCATTTCTATTTATAAAGAGAAAATAACTAGATACTATTGAACAATAAATTTACTAAATTTTTGCTACTTTGTCAAAAGACTTTCTTAAATATCTGGAGGTGGTGATGGACAGGAAGGCCTGGTGTGCTGCAATTCATGGGGTCGCAAAGAGTCAGACATGACTGAGCAACTGAACTGACTGATAATAAGATATTTGTAAAATATGGTAAATTAAAACCAAAAATTAAGCTGGAAAAATTCCACACAAAAGTTTTGGACTTATACAAATTTCAGACCCGGAAAAGCATAGCTGCAGAGACTGAACCTCTGCCTGTGGGGGTGGTATGGAGAAAGCATTTCTCTGAACTCTGCTTTCTCTTTGTAAATCTGAATTCAAACAAGCTTCACAAGGGCTGTAATACTATTTGTAGAGAGTATGTGCTTAAGATTACCATCGGTTTTCCTTTTCAAGTTGAAGACTAGGAGACATTTGCCTGAAAGTGAGTGACGAGAAAGGGAGAATGGAGGAATAAGCAGGTTGCTGTAAGACCTCATGATCAACAGGATACTGAGATGATAAGACAGAACCTGAGGGCTGCAGATGGGGGTCTTTCCACCTGGAGCTCCTTCACAAGCCCAGGCCCTCCCCTACCCTAAACTTTTCATGGCAATGTATTTTCTCCCAACTGACTGTTCTGTGATTTTAATTGATAAGATTTAATCATTCTCATCCTCTCCCTTAGATGAATAGTTTGTATCTTGCCTTGGTTCCACTGTCACTCTCAGACAATTTCCCAATCCAGACTTCTTCCTCTTCCTCTCCTCTCTTCTCCTAACTTGCTTCTCTCCAACTTCTTTTTTCTTTTTAGTATTTCCTAACTCTTTTCATTCTATAAAGCTAGCCCTGGAACTTGGGTAAAACTGTTAGCTTCAGGGGATTAAAAAAAGAACTGGTGTCTGCTGACATGTGACCTTGCCCTTGGAGTCCCCAGATTCCACTCAGGAAGCCCTGACTTCTCAGTGATATGAACCCGCAGGTTCCCACAGAACCACCCTTCCTGCCTTTTCTGGAGTCTGCTTCTCCTCCAGGCTTCACAAAGTCCCGTTGTCTGACTGTCTGGTGAAGTGGTGTTGAATTTTGATGTGTCCACTATATCTCAAGAGTTAATCTATGATTAGGTTTCAGTTTGGATTAGGGAAAAAAAATTGTGCAGTTGTTCTCAAGGACCTTTGGAAGTCAATACAATGTCAACAAAGAGAGTGGGTTTAGCCTTCTGATCTACCATGAACTATATCATCAAGCCCCACTGCATTTGCCCTGATTTTCTGCTGTGTGTGTTTGTGTGTGTGTGTGTGTATTCAGAAGCAGGGTTGTCTGTCCCTTTTGTACTATTACAGTTCAAGATCCTCCAAGGTCAGTGGAAACAGAGGGCTCTCGTTTTAGTTCATGAAAATTAGATGCTCCTTCCCCTTTACTGGCCAGCCTCTCTTTTATCAAACTGTGTTGGAGGGGCGGAGGAGGGTGGGAAGGTGGAGGTTGGAGGTAGTGGGTATAGCCAATCAAAACAAAGAGGAAAAAGGACCAAAAAGTATAGAGTACATCAAATCAGCCATCCCAACTCCCTCTTCGAGAGGAGGAAGAACAGGCCTGACATTTCCAAGATTTCAGGTTTTCTGGGTTGTTGAACAAGTCAAATAACTTAAACATTGTAAATACACAGTGCTAAGAATGAATCTATCCAGGGAAAAGGATTGCTTACCAGAGTATCATCGCTTCTGGCAACACTCATGTTACTTCTGGACAAGAATGACCTGGATAATCTTTGGCACAGTGATATCAAGCGAACAGATTGCTTTATTAAAAAAAAAAAGAGAAAGAGAGAGTGAATAAAAGGCAGGGAGAAAGGAGGAGAGAGAGCTTATACAACAATACTCAAATTAGTGCAGATGACAAAGTCTTTTGAGATAGCATTCACTGCTGACAGCACATACTCTTCAGGGGTGGGCAATCCCAGAAGCAGGTTGGATTATATTTGCTTAAAGAAACTTCTAAAGGTCTTATAAATCAAGACAACAAAAGAGAGATTCTCCTTCTGCATTTCATTGTCAAACCATAGAGGTGGACATGTCTGTTCTCTCTCCGTATTTCACTCTCTACTCTTTGAGGAATGTGATCTGACCCTAACAAAGCCTGTGGATGTCCCCTCTGGAGAAGCATGGCAGGCAAGGGCCCCGAGTCCGTGGTGGCCAGGCAAGCTGGTAACGGCAGACGGTGAGACACTCAAAACTTTTACAGTTGTTAGAAATGAGCGGCGGGGGGGTGGGGGTGGGGGGGACTTTTTTGCCAATAGGACAAACAGCTCTGCATTTACTCTCAAAGGCAGAAGCAACATGTAAAGACTCTGTGTGTGTGTGTGAGAAAGAGAATGAAAGAAAGAAAGTTATGGTGGTTCACTTAAGCCTTATTTTCAGGGCTCCTTGAGAACTAAGAGTCAGGTCTTGAATAATCTGTTGCTGTGGTCCTACTTCTATCAAGGCATCCCAACCTGATGGGCATGACAATGAGGTAGGTATACCTCTGGGCCAGTGATGAGGAGATATGGCAAGTATCTGCTTCCTCTGGGCTTGATGTGACCCTATGCACAGGAAGCCATCCTGTCCCCCTCTGAACCCTGAATTTGTATTTGTTCAAGTTGGATGGAATGTTCTTTGGAGCCACATCCTACTCAGCCCCTGCAGAAACCATCCACCCTGAGAAGAGATATCGTAGTGAATGCTCCTGGCCCACCCTACCCTCATCTCAACCACTCACAGACCAAAGCTGGATTTACAGAACCAATTACACAAACTCTGGGATAATCATAATGCCATGCTGCTTACCACAAGGAACAAATCTATTTAAAATGTGGTTTGTTGCATTTAGAAAAAATTGCACTATAATTTTATTGTACTGATTTAAAAATGTGCCTTGGGAATGGCTTTGATTTAAAAAATAAATGTAAGATTACATGTAGAAAGATGAGTTAAATAGGACTGAAATACTATTTTTGCTTGTCTTTGAAAATAGAGTAATGGTACAGACGTGAACTTGAAAAAAGGATGCACTTTTGCATTGCTGAGATCAGAAGACATGCGCCCTTAGCAGAGGGAAACATATAGGAAATTGAATTAGTTAATCCCTTCAAATCAAACAATCTTACTTTCCATTTTTTCCGGGCTGCGAACTTCTTGAATTTCTCCATGTTTACTGCTGATGCTTTTCTACTAAGTGCTTGTTGGGTATCTTTAGGCTAAAATGAAAATCCAAGACAAACAATTTAGAGCTCTCAAATCACAGAAATGTGTTACATGACCACTTCTGGATACCTCTCACTATTTGGGATGCTTACCTACTCACCTTGCTAAAGTAGCAAAACAAGTTGGGATAATACAGCAGATCTAAGAATCTAGTCTCCAAAGGCTAACTCTTGTGGCTAAAGATTTGAGAAAAATCCATAAAGACTGGGTCTTGGGGGAAAGTTGAAAAGTTGAGCTTGGACCAAGCTGAATTACAACTCTCCAAAAAAGAGTCTGGGAATGGGATGATTCATGGTGAGGCCATGTTATGAGACAAGTAAACTTAACATCGTCAAGTAATTTAGAGCTGTTTGAGAACTCAGAGGTTAGCAAACTCACCATCTCACAGCATTAAAATCCCTCCTCCACTGTATCTTTTTCAGAAGGCCATGAAGCTCTACCTCTGAGAGAAGGAGATGGCATTGCCTTCCAAGGAAGCCGAGGTAACTGCTGGGAGCTGGCACAGGCGGACTTTGTCAGCTGCCCCAAACCTACTTCTGCAATGCAAGTTACTGCATTGCAATCTGTTTACTGGTTCCATGATTTTAGTCTGCAACTGCCATGCTCCCCCAACCCTTAGTCCTTTCTGCTCTAGCTGAAGCAACTTTGGTTCTTTAACCCAAGTGCCAACAGGCGCCAGGCAGGTAGGTATATGTATGGTGGGGGTGACCGCTGGCCTGGCACAAAGGCAGAAGAGTAGAGTTTCTGGCAGCCTTGAGGAATGAGGTCTCTGTGTTGGCAGAACTTCAGATTTTTCAAGAGAAGCTGGGAATCTAGGTTTGATATCATATTTAAATGCTGGAATTTAATTAAAAACTTAACAAAGACAGTGTTTGGGCTAATATCCCACAATCAAACACAAGGCGGTTGAGTGGCTCTGTCCTTCAGCTTCTCATCACCATCCTGCCCTGGGGTAGTTCACTCTTCTCTACCTCTGTTATCATGAGGATTCTCTCAGCTGTCTTAAAATACAGCACCAACAGCAAACAGAATACTCCACATGTGGCCGTGGTTAGAACCCACAGTGCCACGTGATAGCCTGTGCTATGCTGAGTCGCTCAGTCGTGTCTGACTCTTTGCTACCCCATGGACTGTGGTCTACCAGGCTCCTCTGTCCATGGGGATTCTCCAGGCAAGAATACTGGAGTGGGTTGCCATGCCCTCCTCCAGGGGATCTTCCCAACCCAGGGATCGAACCCAGGTCTCCCATATCATCGGTGGATTCTTTACCATCTGAGTTACCAGGGAAACCCAAGAATACTGGAGTGGGTAGCCTATCCCTTCTCCAGGGGAAACTTTCCAACCCAGGAATTGAACCAGGGTCTCCTGCATTGCAGGTGGATTCATTACCAGTTGAGCTACCCAGAAAGCCCAGGGCAAATGAATTCCAGGACACCCTATGATCCCCAAACCAATTGCAATATGCAACTCACCTTGATCCAGGGATGCTGCAAACTATCTTGAATTGTCATTCTCTTCCTTTGTGGGGGGGGAGGGGGGTAGGGGAAAGAAAAAAAATGTGGTGACCATAGAAGCAAACACTAAGATTGTTTCCATGCCGGCTGGATCTACCAAGCAGATGCTCTGCAGCTCGGGGCCTGCTTCACAGAAGCAAGCTGAAAACAATGTCAGTCTTTGTGTGATTATTTCACTGTGCCCACCGGGACTGACTGAAAGGTGCCAAGGGCCCTGCCTGCATTTTCTGAAGCGTTTCACGGGGCATGCTTCTCTCTCCCAGGTGGAAATAACCAGAGAGGAATAAACACAGCTGCGTGCACAGGACAGGAGCTAACCCTCATCTAGCTGAGGCCGCGGCTAGGCGACTTTCAGGAATAAGGGCCACTCACTTTGGATCCTTGACGAGGAGTCTTCTTATGAAATCTTTGGCTAGGGCACTCGTATTACTGAAGTACTCTTCCTCAAATTCGTAGTTGACAGCAGATACGTTCGCTAATGTTTCTTGCTTAGTGTCTCCGAGAAAGGGGGAGGCCCCACTGAGGCTGTTAATAAAGTGGGGCACAGAACATGAGTAAGTCCCCTCTGGTGTTATAACACTGCTCCTCTAATACCTGATTAGGAGAATGAGGAATCACAGTCTGCTCTGGTGCTTGAGCAGTCACTTCAGAATTCAATTACATTTTACAGGGCGTTTAATTGTCATGCACAGAAGCTTCAGCTTATGCAAAGGACATATTTAAAAAGTTCATTTAGAATAGCGTTTAGTAGTTTATAAAAGAAAAACCTTTCCTCTTTTCTCAGGAGTGATGGGCCGTCAAGCTTTCTTTCAGTGATTATGTTGCAATTTCTGATGACTCATTTCAAATTAAGAGAAAATGTGTAATTAGTATAAACTAAATGTGTTCTGGAGGTGTAAAATGACTATGTGTACATAAAAAGCATGCATAACCTGAAGTGATCAACATGACACATAATTTCAAAGAAAAAGGGGAAGAACATAAATAGTGAATTTGGGTACTTACAGAATATAGGTTATTACCCCAATACTCCTAGACATGAAACAAGAAGAAAAACAATATCAGACGAATAGTAAAATAAATCAGAAAAATGATAACATTAAGGACATGTTCCTTACCACATATCTGCCTCAAGACCAAGAGGTTCATAGTTGACTATCTCAGGAGCTATGGGGAAATGAATGCACATTTAGTTTTGGAAGGAAGTGAACCAACAGAGTCTAGTTTTCATGTATAAATCAGAAACATGTACCCAGGAAATGATGCTGCAGCAGGGGGAATTCTGCCAGCATGATGTTTATGAGAAATGAATGGAATGGCCATAGGAATGAAGAAAACTTACCAACAAATTCTGGTGTCCCAAATATATTTTTGAATTCATTTCCAAAGTCAATTTTATGGGCCAATCCAAAGTCAATGATCTTGATCCGAGGCTTGGGGACATTTCTATCCAAAAGCATTATGTTTTCGGGCTTTAAAAAGAGAAAAATAGTACAGCAATGTTCATTGCAGTGTTATTCACAATGACCAAAAGGTGGAAATAACATGATGTCCACAAAACAGGGCCTGCCCATACAATGGAATATTATTTAGCCTGAGAAAGAAAGTAAACTTCTGACATGTGCATCAATATGGATGAACCCTAAAGATACGATGCTAACTGAAATATCAATCACAAAAGGAGAAATGTTGTATAATTCCACTTATATGAAATATCTAGAATAGGCAAAATCATAGACACAGAAAGTAGAATGATGGATGCCAGTAGCTGGGGGTAGAAGGGCTGAGGACTTAGTGTTTAAGGGATACATAGTTTCAGTTTGGAAGAACAGTAAATTCCAGAAATAGAAGGTGGTGATGGCTACACAACTACGTGCATAGATTTAATGTCACTTAACTGCATACTTTAAAATGATTAAAATGGTAAATATTATATTGTGTTTATCCTTCCACAATAAAAAAAAAATACTATCATAAGTTATGCTGAGGACAAGATGGCAGTGTAGTTCTTCCTCTCTCCTGAAAAAACAACAAAAAGTAGGGATAAAAGAGAGGCTGCAACAGAACACCAGGGAAAACAAGTGTCTTGGTTTAGGTTCTCCCAGGAACAGATCTGGAAAGGGATCTGGCTGCAAGCGGCTTAAGTGGGAGGGGACCCCAGGGAATACTGGGCAGAGGAATGGGAAGACAGGAAAGAGAAGGAAGGAAGCTGATACAAAGTGTCTTATCAAGGTGGGGGTGACTGGAGCACAGTCTCTTTGGAGGACTTGGGGAGAAATGGAAGCACTCCGAATTTGCCAACTGAAGCCCAAGGAAGCTGGGGTATTTATCCACTATCTCCCCAAGTCTACCGCTAAGAGCTGCTTCAGTGGGTATTTATGCTTTGGCATTTCCAGCTCCCAGCAACAGTCTTTGGGGTATGTGCCAGTGAGTCCTGGGGGATCCAGATGTGGTCTTGACAGCTCTGCTACAGTAAGTATGGAGAAAGCCTTCCCTTCTCCTACATCTTATCCTAGATCCAATGACAGGAATCATTCACTTGGCAATCAACCACACACTGCTTGGTGATAATCTTCTCACTGTTTTGGACTGTACCCTGAATCTTACATTGTCACTTCTGTTGCTCATATGGATGTCTTCCCCTCCCAAAGAGACCATAACCTCTGTGATGGGTGGGAGTATGACCTGCCCACCGCCACCCCCCCCCCCAGCTTTTTAACAAATTGCTGATAATGCCTTGCCCCTAGTCAACAAAGACCCCAAGCCGACAGTCTCAGAGTCTGGCTTAATTGATTGCAAGACACCGAGTCAGCCCAGAAGACTTTGCATCAAGAAAGAGAGCAGAGATTAAAATACCTTCCATCTTCTATGCTGGCAGCCAGAGGCAGAGAGGAATGGAGCAGCTAGTGGCTACTCCAGGCTGAAAATACCCCATAACCAACAGCAGCCCCCTTGCTTAAAGACTTGGCTGGCAAGAGCCCTCAATTCTTCCCCAAGAGAATCCTAGAATGTGATGATTAATCCTAAGCCTCTATTCCACACAACCGTTAGGAACTGCTGTAGTAAGCATGCATTATATACTTGCTGATTTATACCGATAATTGTATGCAATAAACCCCTCTAGGGAAAAAAAAAAAACAACGCATGTATCTCTTTTGGATGCCTCCATTTTTCCCATCAAACAAACAACAAGTGCTATGATATTCATATGCTTTCATCTGGTTTACACCAAGCAACGTACCTTAAGATCAAAGTGGGCAATCTGAAGGGAGTGTAGATAGTAAACACCATTAAGAATTTGTTTGAGAAATTCAGTTGCTTCCTCTTCAGTCAGAGATTCCTTTTCAGCTAAGAAGTCAAACAGCTCACCACCTGCAACGCTGAAAACCAGGAAGCAGAGGTTACTGATGACAGCTTCTGTCTCCTATTGATTTGTTTTCTCAAAGACAATTTGCACGCTCAGATTTCTGGCAAGAAAATAGCATTGAGGACATGCTGAAACTGCTAAGCAAGGAATCAGAATTCTCTGTGTTTCTCACTGTTGGATGACAATTCTGCATTCAGATATGCTTGTGCTTGAAAGCAGCTGGGTATTGCTCTCCTAACATGCTAGGTTCACAAATGGGGGAGGAGCAGAAATGTGATGGGGAAAAAAAAACATCAATGCATCTTTCAGACATCTTAATTCAACATATTCAGATGTGAAGTCTTAACTCACTGATTGAAAAAAAAAACACCCTACAATCCAAGTTCATGTAGAATTTATAGAATATATCTTCCTAGCCCAGTCAGACACTACCTGGAAACTTCAAAATCTGTAGGTTAGTCAATTAAAAAAAAAACAACCAAAAAAACCTCACATCACAACCTATGGCCTGACAAGCAGTGTTTGTTTGTATACTTTGTATTTGTATCTATGTAAATACTTCCACATTTATAAAAATCACAAACATACACAAAATTGAAATGCCTGTGGTTGCTGGGGATTTATTGAATCTGTCTCCTTGGCCAGACTGTAAATCCCTGGAGGGTGGTGGTCGGCCCCTGGCTGTGGGCCCACTGTGTGTATTCTCCCCACTCCTCCCACTGGGCCAGGCACACAGCAAGAACACGAAACTTTTTAATTAAGTAGATGAACGAAGAAACTCCCCTAAAAAATCCACAGTAGTGATTAATGGCAAATAACAGAGAACTTGTAATAAGAGTTTTTATAAGTTGATCTTTATCGAGTTTAACCATACATTCACAACACAATAATTAACTGCAATTATGCATATAACTGCGTGTGCATTATCTTTCTTTCAGCAAGACAGCTCCATAAACATACCTACCACATCTACATCCAGAATAAGAAAACTGGTGTTTGTGAGATTAAACTATAATGACAAACAAGCTGCTTTCACAAAAGAAGTTTGAGATTTTGCCCCTTCACCCTCCAAGTCCATGTTTCTCTTAGCTTGGCTCAGGATTCACTGGGAGCATAATGGCTTGGGGTGTTTTAAATATGCAGATTTGGGGCATCACTCCCAACCTGCTGCATGAGTTTCCAAGAGTGGGGACCAGGAGTGCGGCATTCTAAACAAGCACCTCAGGTGATTCTTGCATGTGTGCTAAGTCGCTTCAGTTGTGTCTGACTCTGTGACCCTAGTGTTCCAGGCTCCTCTGTCCATGGGATTCTCCAGGCAAGAACAACCGGAGTGTTGCCATGGCCTCCTCCAGGGGATCTTCTGGATCCAGGGATCGAACCTGCGTCTCTTGCATCTCCTGCATTGGCAGGCAGGTTCTTTACCACTAGCGCCACCTGCGAAGCCCCAAGTGTGATTCTTAGCACACTAAAAACTGAGGACAATTTTTCCAAGTGTTAATGACATCCTCCCGTTTCAAGGCTTATCTCTAACATTTAACCTGAGGATGTTTATCTGGAGGAGGGGGCAAAGTGACTCCTCCACCCCTGGGGCCTGAGGGCATTTCTGCCACGAGCCACAGAGTCTGAGCCCTGCCTGGGGGGCAGAGGCCGGTATGGCCCTTCATAACACCACTGTCTGCACCCTCCCAGTCTTGCTCCCCGTGGCCATGGTGTCTCACACTGGCTCCCTGCACAACTTCATGGCGCCCTTTGCTTCTCACTTTTTTGTTTTATTCCTCTTAAAACCAAAAAAACAGGGAGAGGGACTCCTTCAATTATAGGGAACAAAAAGGAGGAAAAAATGGGAAACTGTGAACCACTTAATGCTAAGAAAATCGTTCTACCGTCCTTTTGCTTCTTTGTTCTCCGGCCTGCACGGCCACCCCTTATGTAGACACCGTGGGCTGCAGGATGGAGAGATGGGCCAGAGTCAGCCTGTCACACTCAAACCTTAATTCTGTGGCCAAAAGTTTATTCCTTTGTGCTGAGTCTCATTTTTTCATCAAATGGGAATAACAGGACTTACTATTTGAAGGTTTTGAAGCTTTATGATAATAAATATACATAAAGCCCATGGCAGGCAGGTCTGGCATGAGGCTGAGGTGCAGTAAGTAGCCTGGTACAATTATAAAGGAAGGATCCATGCACCTGTGCTCCAACATGAAAGCCCCTTCCTGCCTGTTCCCCTCTCCCCATTCAAATCCACTGCCTGCATGCTCAGCTGTGTCTGACTCTCTATGATCCCATGGACTGTACCCCATCAGGCTCCTCTGTCCATAGGATTTTCCAGTCAAGAATACTAGAGAGGGTTGCCATTTCCCCTGGAAGAGGAAATGTGATGTGCTCAAAGGGAAGGGACGTGTTTAAACAGCTCTGAGACCTGGTCCACGGAGGCATTCCAGATTTCCCCAAGATGGCGTAACAGCACCTCTCACCTCCTTCTCTGCTCTGTGATCTTGCATCTCGTTCCACCCCCTTGAATCTGGGCAGGTCCATCACAGCTTTGACCAATTAGACACAGCAGAGTGATGCTGCGTCAGCTCTGGTGTGTTTTTTCACAGGCCCAGGGCTTTCATATCCCACCTCGTGAATCCCTCCTGTAAGTGTGATGATCCTAAAACTACCCTGTGGCATACAGAAACCTTGGAAGATGAGATGCCTCATAAAGAGAGAAAGAGGCAAAGGAGCACTGAGCCAGGAAGGAATCTTGGAAGTTAGACTGTCCATCTGAGTCCTTCCAGAATTCCTGACCCATTAAATGCAATGGTCATTTTAACCTGCTATGATGGACACCATCATATGAGCTCCGCCCACATTTCCCTTGAGGAAAGACCTACTGTCCCCAATGTTGGGGGTGGAAGCAGCATAGCCCCAAGCCCTCACCCAGCAGGGCTCATCTCTGCTGCAGAACTGCTGTCCAAGGTCTCGTCCTTTCCCTGGAAGCCCACAGCCAATGGCTACTGTGGGAACACAAACCTGAGGTCGACTCACTTCTAGAAATAGCAAGATACTAAATGTTTTAGGCTTTATCAGTAATACAGATTCTGTCACAACTACTCAACTCTATCCAAGCAGCCTGAGAGCAGCCTTAGATCATATGGAAATGAAGAGTGGAACTGCGTTCCAATAAAATTTTATTTACATAAACCCTTACTTGTCTCTTGAGAAACCTGTATGCACGTGAAGAAGCAACAGTTAGAACTGAATATGGAACAACAGATTGGTTCAACATTGGGGAAGGAGCATGTCAAAACTGTATATCATCACCCTGCTTATTTAACTCCTATGCAGAGTACATAAGGCGAAATGTTGGGCTGGATGACTCACAGCTGGAATCAACTGTTTTCTGGGAGAAATGTCAACAACCTCAGATATGCAGATGATACCACTCTAATGGCAGAAAGGAAAGAGGAACTAAAGAGCCTCTTGATGAGGGTGAAAGAGGAGAGTTGAAGAAAAAGAGAAAAAAAGGAAAAAGCTGGCTTAAAACTCAACATTCAAAAAATTAAGATCATGGCATCCAGTCCCATCACTTCACAGAAAATAAATGGGGAGAAGGTGGAAACAGCAGGCTTGTCTTGGGCTCCAAAATCACTGCGGACCATACCTGCAGGCATAAAATTAAAAGGTGCCTGCTGCTTGGATGAAAAGCTATGACAAACCTAGAGAGCATATTAAAAAGCAAAAACATCACTTTTCCAACAAAGGTCCATATAGTCAAAGCTATGGTTTTTCCAGTAGTCCTGTATGGACGTGAGAGTTGAACTATCAAGAAAGCTGAGCGCTGAAGAATTGATGCTTTTGAATTGTGGTGCTGGAGAAGACTCCTGAGAATCCCTTGGACAGCAAGGAGATCAAAAAGTTAAAGGAAATTAACCATGAATATTCATTGTAAGCACTGATACTGAAGCTGAAGTTCTAATACTTTGGCCACCTGATATACATTCTACTCCAGCTCAGAGTCTGCTTCCCAGGGAACATACCTTGCGCCCTGCTAAATTTGGAGGTAGTCTGTTACATAGCAACAGCTGTCTGGAACATTCACCATCTTGCTTGGGTCTGTTTATTCTGAGCAGCCAATGGACATCAAGTTTACTGTTCTAAAGGCTGGCTACCTCATGCCCTATTCAGTCTTCATGTCCTAAGAAACTTAACTCCAACAGTGCTTCCTGACCACAGAAGTGAGAACTGGGAGCAACCCCAGAGTGAGGGAGCAGTGGCACTGCTATGAGAAAGGGAGCAGGGATCATCTTTGATTTTCTCCATCTACCCTTAGCCTCTCCATCTGCTCTGAGGCCCTTTTCAAACTCTGCGCTGTTCACGATGTGGTCCATACCATCACTTGTGCTGGGAGCCAAATCTTCTAGCTAGACATCAGGAGGGTTAGGACGATCCCCATCTCACTGCACCTGGACCCATCACTGCTTCCTGATGCCCTAAAGGTCTCCCCTATATCCTCATTCTCCTTCATGCCAGTACGGCAAGGCTGATGTTTTAGCCAAGGGCCTCCACTTTACAAAATCTTTAATCAATAATCAAAATAATTGAAACTAAGTGATTCCAGCAAAGGGTGGGGAGAATGATAATCATCCCTTGTTAATTTACCCCCTGATTGTTCCCCTAAACTCAGAAGATAGAAAGTGACCTGATTTTTTCACATAGAAACTTTCACATGCATGCTTTGAACCAGAACTCAAATGCTTACAATGCCATTGAGGCACAGCAGAATACTGTTAACAAGGAGATCAGTCAAAACCCTAGTATTTTCACTCTTTGTTCCAAATTATACATTTTGCTTAAGAGGAGGAAGATTGATAGAGAGAAGAGAAGAGCAATCTGTACAGTAAATTTAGAAAGTGAGTTTCACCTCCTTTATTAGGGCTTTGAGTCAGTGTTTTAAATTATAGCATCATAATAGAAATTGTGTGGAATGCATGTTAATAAGCATCGGCTGTTTTCATCAAGAGCTTTGGA